CAAATCACATCACAAATATAGCAAATCCACTGTGCATAGTTACATCTTTATAAAACAAAACAATGCCAGGATAATGGTATGTGATCAGCATTACAATTCCAAAGATACCAAGACAACTACTTATCTGACACTTGTCTTACTATTTCTCTAACATTTATCTAAAATTATTTCAATTATTTCTTTTCTTGGAATGCATAACTTGACTCATTGATTTGTGATTCTCAGTTCAGAGGAAATGTAACAACAGGGACTAGAAACACTTTTTAATTCAATGTCCAGTGAAGGTTGGGGAGGACTCCATCCTTGACTCATTATATGATTCCTCATAAACTCATTACAATTGGCCTGGCTTTCATTAATTCATGAGCATTTACTGAGCACCACATGCCAGGCCTGTGCTGGTGCAAAGACAAGGGCAAGTTCAATCCATGCCCTCAATGAGTTTACAGCCTAAAGACGACTTTGACTACCAGGCCTTCATTATATAGAGCCACATCCTAGGACTTTGGAGAATCAGCTTTCTTCTGGAGACTTAAAGATATCTCTATTTACTTTTGTGTGATTTATTTGAAGAAAAACAAAACTAAGTATACATAGGATACATGAATAATAAAAAACACTATTTTATGAGACTCAGAATGCTAATTTTAGGATCTTTGCCCTTCTCAGTTGATTTTTGTGTCCCTCAACTGTTTAGTCTGCAGGACAGATATCACATCCTGCTGTGCAGTTTATAAAATGTCCTTAAAATTAGAAGAAAGAAAGACCTTTTCTTCCTGGGTTTAAGACCCACACATCTGAGGCTGTAGGCATTTCAGATCCCTCTGGTGGATGGACCAAAATGATAAACAATACTGTGAGATAAATGCTTTAAACATCATCTGCTCTTTCATCTGAATTCCCTATTCATTATTCAGCAAAATTCAGTTTTCATATAACGATTTCAGTAGTTCTAGGGCACTAGAAAAGCAGTAATAGGCATGGCCATAAAGCATACAATATTTATAATCTAATGAGGGAGACAACTAAAAGAAAGGGGGAATAAAAGCATCTTCAACAGAAACACCCTTTGCCAACCAACTAGAGGTATAGAAAGGATATTAGGTAATTAGTGACCACTAATTTAAAGATAAATATTTATTGAGTGCCAGACATTGTTTTAGGCACTGGGTATATAGCAATAAAAAAACAAAAGTGCCCGCTCTTTTTTTATAATGGAGTTTATATTCTCAATTGTGGAGACAGACAATAAGCAAATATTTATATATAATATGTCAGATGGTGGTGACAGGCACTATGGAAAAGAATAAAGCAGGGCCCAGAGAGAGAGAGGGTAGGATGGGGTAGAGGTGGGATGGTGTGGAGGGCTGCTGAGATGGGATGGAGTAGATGGCTGCTTTTTCATGTAGAATGGTCAAGGAAGTCTGTACCTGTGTGTATCATTTGAGCGGAGGCTCTGAAGAAAGTGAGGAAGGATGAAGGCAGAGAGGTGAGAAGAGAGGGTTACAGGAAAAGACAATGAGAAGTGTAAGACCACGGGGTGGAAATGTGTTTGCAAGTGTGTCTAAGGAACAGCTAGGAGGCCAATGAGGCTAAAGCCAAGTGAGCAAAGATGGGAGTGTGAGGAGATGACAGGTCACGATGCGCACAGCCAACACGGTGGGCAGGAAATCACAAGTCCTTTCAATTTACTCTGCATGAGTTGAGAGGCCACTGGAGGGTTTGGAACCAGGAGGCACATGCCCTAACTCATTTGAGAAGGATAGCAGTGTCTGGCTGTCCTGTGAATAAGTGGCCGTAGGAAGGAAGCGGGGAAGCAGGCAGTTGGGAGGCATTTGCAATAATTCAACCAACATATGATAGTGGCTTGGTCCAGGGTGCTGGCAGAAGGTATGGCAAGAAGGGAGGGGTTCTGGACAATCTGGAAGGTAATGCCAATAGATCTGTATGTGATAAAAAGTTGGATGAATGTTTAAAAAGATTTCTGCAAAGAAACTGTGGGTTGTGGGTAAAACTAGTAATTCCAATGTAAGTGAACAACAGAGAAATACAAAACAGACACATTTCCTACTTCTACAAAAACTAGAATTATCAAGAAAACGACATGAAGTTTATATCCAGTATTGTTAGCAGGAAGCCTCATCCCAAGTAGGTATTGTTCCTTGACCATTTTAGCAAATGAGAGCATGAGGCCATCATAATGAATAAAACATGCCATCATGATTTATAAAGAAGCATCTGGAGTTTTAGTAATATAGTTAGGTGAGACTAAAATTATATTAAACATAAAATTAAAATATCTTAACAATATTCTTAGCAATTTCAGTTTTACCATATCCTTTTGAAATCTAATTTTGCTATATGCTTCGCAACATAGGGGTGGGGGAAAGAGAGAAATGTATGAGATAATTTATAAATAAAAATACACATAAAGTATAAGCATTCTCAACTGATGGTCAGAAAATATGGAAGGTGTTTAAGACTCTAGCAGAAACATACCATAAACAAGATTTTAAGACTGAGAGTAGAGGTTTAGTGGGGTTCAAGGTGAAAGGCAGGGGCAAGAAGCTGGCAAGAAGAGGGAAGGGATACCAATTCTAATTTGCCTCTGTAATGCTTTACATTTACCAAGGTTCCACAAATGGTATCTGATTCCATCCTCATAGCAACCCTATGAAGTAAGTCAGAAAAGACGATGTCTCTTTTCCTAAGGAATGAATTGAGACTTGGGTTGAGATACTCTCCAGAGCTTACTCAGATAGGAAGTGACAGGGCCAGGATTCATATTAGGGCTTCTGGCTCCACAGACAGTTCTCCTTAAGACACTCAATAAATATGTTTGACAAATTAAGTGCTTACTCTTGGCTGAGTGTGGTACTAGGTGGTGTGGCAGCATCTCAAAAAGGGGGAAAGTCACTCCCTCAATTCCCATGTGGCCTTTAGTCTGAGACTAGGGAGATTAAACAGATGCCTGAGAAGTTGTTTATTACATTTACAAAGCAACACATTTGTAAAAGTGAAATAATAAATTTGGCCCATAAGGACTCTGGGGGCAAAAAGTAAAAATTAGAGCATTAGTCATTACAGCAAATAGGGTTAACAGGTGTGATGGAGTGCCTTTGGTGTAAGTCAGCTTAAACTGACAAGTAAAAAGAGCAATTCACTGGCTCACAGATCTGATAACTACAGGCTGGTAGGGCATAAGAAATACCACCAGGAAGCCATGTCTCTCATTACCCAACACTGGTTTGCCGTGCCTTCATTTTATTCCCAGGCATGCTGTCACCAGGTGTTGGTAATCTGACCCCAGCAACTCCTAGCTAAATCCTACAAGTTTAGCTCTCACAATAGAAAAGAAAGCACTTCTTTTCTAATGGCACCAGCAAAACAGGGCTCTGCCAAACTTGGGTTTTGTGCCTGTCTCAGAACCAATCACTAGGCATAGGGGAGTGCCGTGCTCTGATTGGTCAGCTCTGGGTCACATGCCCACTCTTGGGTAGAGGCAGGGTCAGCCCTGCCAGATGAGCATGGTCTGAGGAAGAAGACGGTTGTTTCCCCAGGGGAAAATACAAGTGCCCCTACTAGAAGGGAGAATGGCTGCCAGGAGGGCAAAATGACAGATTCACTAAAATAGGTTGATGACTGAAGAAAATAATTTTGTTCCTAAATTTAAGGGAGTATTTCAGTTGTTTGTTTCTAATCTTATGGAATTCTACACTGGGAGGGAGTTGGTGCAGGAGAGTCATGATATGCAGGCATAGGCTACAGAATGCTGCTTTGAGTTTTTAATCCTTTACTTTTCCTTTCCTTTAAGCTTTGACACGATTTATTCATGCAGGGATGCCCTGAAGTGAGCCTCATCATCTTTTTTTTTGAGATGGAGTCTTGCTCTGTCACCCAGGCTGGAGTGCAGTGGTGCAATCTTAGCTCAATGCAACCTCCGCCTCCCAGGTTCAAGCATTCTTTTGCCTCAGCTTCCTGAGTGGCTGGGATTACAGGTGTGCACCACCACGCCCCACCACACCCGGCTAGTTTTTGTATTTTTAGTAGAGACGGGGTTTCACCATGTTGGCCAGGCTGGTCTCAAACTCCTGACCTCAGGTGATCCACCCATCTCGGCCTCCCTGAGTGCTGGGATCACAGGTGTGAGCCACCATGCCCAGGCCTCATGGTCTCTTTATTGTACCTTTTCTAGTCTCTGCTTTCCTGAAGCCAGAGGTCTTCCTATCTCCGGAAGCTCAAAGACAGACTTTCAAACCCCTCCCAACCACTTGGCCTTTTGTGATGACTTCTTCCCTTCAAGGCTGCCTTTAGTAACCTATTATTGAAGAGGCAAGAGAAAGCCCTCAGCCTTCTCCACTTTCACCTCCCTGGGCTCCCCAAGTTTGGCTGACTCCTCTTTTCAAGTTCACATTTTCTCCTTTCCACAGAGGTTTGCAACATTACCTTTAGGAAATCCTCTCCAGTCTCTATCATGTTTCAACAGTTCTTTACCCCATGCTCTTATCCCTGTCTCCCACCAATCATATCCACCGGCCTTATTGACCGCTTGTGAGAGTTAGAATTTTGGAGACTGGTCATGTGTCACAAAATCCTGCTTTAGAAGGCAGAACACTCCATTTCCTACTCGTCCAAAGCACTTTATCTCTCAGGCCTCTCCTCCTGTAGCTCTGAAGCTAGGTTGATGAGATTCCCAAAGGGGAGCATTTAGTGATCTGAGTGCTTTGATGAAATTGATTAGGTAAATGGAAACATATTTTTTGCAACTACTGTAGCCTGTAGGAACAATAAGTTGTGTAAATGCAATGTTTTGCCATTTTTGAAATAATGAAGGTTCTTTGTAATTTTAAATATTTTTTTGCAACAAGAGATTGTTTTCCAGCAGTAAAATAGCCAGAATGTTTGATGTGAAATGTTTAAAAAATATATACTGCCTGATATCTTTAGAGCAGCACTTTCATTATCAATGATGGATTTAACATTGTGTTGAATTTTTCTAGCTTCTCTCCTGAAGGGTTTGAAACATGCCAATATTGTGCTTCTGCATGACATAATCCACACCAAAGAGACACTGACATTCGTTTTTGAATACATGGTGAGTTGTTCAAGCATTTTACAACACATGAGAAAAATAGCCTGGTACTTGTATAATGAATCTGTTAATATTTTATGGCATGATAAAACTTTTATTACACAATGTGGAAAGTATCATGGAAATATTCATTATTGTGATTAGTAGAACCTTATTGTTCCCACATCCATCTTTGGTCCTGCTTCCTTACCCATGACTTTTGCTGTCCTTTTTCCCCTCATCAGCAATAATAAATGAGGATCTTGAGTTTACCTCCTAAATAAAGCTTTTGCACTTATTTTTAATCTAGTTTTAATCACTATCTGAGCAGAATCCAACATTTTTTTCATTGACAATAAAGGTAAAAATCACAAGATATTTAAAAATTGTATGCAAGCTTGCTAAAGAATAACTCATGTTGTATTTTTGAAGAAAAAATATTTAAATAAGCAGAAAGAACTTGTAAGGTATGTGTACTTGACTTGCCTCCAAGGACACTTGGAGAGTGAAAAATTCCTGCGTCGTCGTGTTCACTGCCAGTCATTTAAAATGAGCATCTCTGTGCTGAGAAACAGGCTTTGTTCTAAGAGCCACCAGTTAGAAAGACACACTGTGTTTGACCTTAACAGTGGGTTCTCAGAAAACCTGGTTATATTCCTTTTGCACCTTTTTCTTAAAATTCTGTACTTCGTAATACCTTCTGACAGTCAAGTCAATGTTCTGCTTTAGGAAACTATCCAAGCACCACTGAATTCACTCTCTTCTCTTTCTCTGCTGTTTTATTTAGCACACAGACCTGGCCCAGTATATGTCTCAGCATCCAGGAGGGCTTCATCCTCACAATGTCAGAGTGAGTACGTTAAGGGTCAGGACCCTCTCCTGGCTTGCCCACAGAAGGAGAGTTCTGAAACAGACTGCCTCACAAAGCAAAGTCCTATGATACTAAATAAGAGGATGGACATCACTGATATTCCAGAGAAAAGTTTTGTTTTTGTTCTTTTTTTAAAAAAAAAAAAGGAAAGAAAGAAAGAAAAAAGTAAAAGAGTTGCTGAGTTGCCCCTTAAGATATAGAGCAATGTTTTCTGAGCAACCTAATGCTGTCAGTCATGGCCACATGCAAATGTGTCTTTAGATGAATAAACGAGTGAAGGAGAATTATACTAAAAGGAAAAAACTAAAGCTAGGCCATCGTAAAATAAATACCTTCTTCCTATCAGATTACTGTGGTCTATGATGAAGTCTGCAATACTTGTTCTAGCAGATCCTATTATATATGTGGCCCTAACTCCTATTTTTCCAGTCATTAGAATAGAAATAATAATAAACTTTTAACTAGCTATAATTCTACATCTGTTATAAATTTTAGAAACCATTTATATTTCATACTTTTCATTCCCTAAGGTTTTATTGGCATTAATTAATTGATTGGCTCTTAAAATAACCATATGAAATTTGTATATGATGTATTTATTCATTTAACTAATATTTATTTATGTATTCATTTATTCATTCATTTAAGAAATATTTATTGAGTACTTAGTGCTGTAATAAGTTCTGGGGTTTCAATAATGAATAAGTTGTGTTTCTTATTTTCAATGAGCTTAAAGTCCAGTAAGATACATGAACTTAAATAGGCAGTGAGGGCCACCCTTCAAGCGACAGCAACGCAAGATGGCAGCCACCATGGGCTCAGGCAATTTATGAAAACAGAATATATAGCCTTAAAATAGAATGTGGACCTAAATACCCAGAAGCACTCCCCTTTGTAAGATTTGTAACAAAAATTATTATGAATGGAGTTAATAGTTCTAATGGAATGGTGAACCCAAGAGCTATATCAGTGCTAGCAAAATGTCAAAATTCATATATCATCAAAGTTATCCTTCAAGAGCTTCAGCGCCTAATGATGTCTAAAGAAAATGTGAAACTCCCTCAGTTACCTGAAAGACAGTGTTACAGCAATTGATCAAAAAGAAAAATCACAGGCCCTTCCCTCTCCCCAACATTTGGTGTAAGCAGTCTTCATTTTCCACAGTAGTAAATTTTCTAAATACATCTTGTAGACCTCAAAGTACTGGAAAGGAAGCTCCTATTCAAAGGAAGTTTATCTTAAGATACTGTAAATGATACTAATTTTTGTACGTTTGAAATATATAAGTTGTTAGCCTGGCGCGGTGGCTCACGCCTGTAATCCCAGTACTTTGGGAGGCCAGGGTGGGCGGATCATGAGGTCAGGAGTTTGAGACCAGCCTAGCCAACATGGTGAAACCCTGTCTCTACTAAAGATACAAAAAATTAGTCAGGTGTGGTGGCACATGCCTGTAACCCCAGCTACTCAAGAGGGTGAAGCAGGAGAATTGCTTGAGCCCAGGAGGCGGAGCTTGCAGTGAGCAAAGATCGCACCACTGCACTCCAGCCTGGGTGACAGGGCAAGACTCCATCTCAAAAAAAAAAAAAAAAAAAATGTAAGTTGTGCTATAATTAATAAATAGGTGGTGAGAATCAAAGTGCTAAAGCCTATGGCCGTAGTAACTAGGAATACTGTGGGAACACATAATAAGGGAACCTAACCCAGTCTTGGAAGTAAGGTTTTGGAAAGGAATGTTTGAGAACAAAGGGTTGAGAAGAGTGAAAAAAAAAAAAAAAAAATTAAAATACCAGTGAGCTGTGTGGAGAATGGGATAGGGAGCTAACTAGAGAAACCAAATAGGAATGTTTCATGATGTGTTAAGGACCCTGGTAAGGGTGAAGACCATTACATTATCTGCACAATCGTGGGATTTTTTTTTTATGGTAATGCTTGGCAATTTGAATAGAGGAGCAGAGAATGTAGACAGTTGGATTGAGTCAGAGTTGAAGTTCTGCCAGACATATGAAAGGAAGAGACAGGTAGGCAAGAGAGTTGAAGAGATTATCAAGACAGAAGTTAAGGTGTTGGCCAGTGGTATCTAGTCTGAGTCTAATCTGAGCGAAGGAAGTGAAGATAAGCAGCTTGCTGATAGTTATGAAGAGAGTGGAAGGGTTCAAGGACCTGGAGGTGTTGATTAAATAGAAGAATGGTTGGAGAAAGAACAACTGTGAGAGAGTGAGATTTTCAAGCTTGAGTGACTCTCACATAGCAGACACTGTGCTAAATGCTTCAAAGGAAAACTAGACATAAAAGACATGATCCCTGCCCTCAAGGGAGTACAGCCAAAAACAAGAGATAAGAAATAGGCACCAATACTATTACAGTACACTTGTGTAGAATGTCAAGAAAGAAATACAATTTAGTACTATAGATGTGCAAGGGCATTAAAGATATCTTCTAGTTTTAAGAAGTTTGAGATCTTAGGCCGGGCGCGGTGGCTCACGCCTGTAATCGCAGCACTGTGGGAAGCAAGGTGGGTGGATCACGAGGTCGGGAGATCGAGACCATCCTGGCTAACACAGTGAAACACCGTCTCTACTAAAAAAATACAAGAAAAAAAAATTATCCGGGCATGGTGGCAGGCGCCTGTAGTCCCAGCTACTCAGGAGGCTGAGGCAGGAGAATGGCGTGAACCCAGGATGTGGAGCTTGCAGTGAGCCAAGATCCCGCCACTGCACTCTAGCTTGGGTGACAGAGCGAGATTCTGTCTCAAAAAAAAAAAAAGAAATTTCAGATCTTAAACACACTGTATTTCAAGAGTCTGGAATAGGAGAGCATGTTACAGGGAGAGAAAATGTTTTCAGCAAAGGTACAGAGTAGGGAAATAGAGGATATGTTCAGGGAAGAGGACCCAAAAGTCATGGCTTGTTAGGGTTAGAGGAAACACAGTGTTTTGCAATCTCCAGGTTCCATTAGTGCGTTTTGAAATCAATATGGTGGTTAGCAACCTGCGTTTTTAAGAATGAAGTAAATAAATGAGAAGAAAATAGAAAATATTAGCATGCATTACATTTTGAAAGAACAAGTATTATTTTCTGCAACTTTTGCTCCAATTGTAACTGTACTTATATTTTTAATGTATGGATGTGAATACATTATACATATATATTTCTTACTGTAGACTGCAGTAAAAAAATCTTTAAAGCACTAGCCTGGTCTAACTTCCTTATTTTGCAGAGGAGAAATCCAAGATCTGAGAGGACAAACATTTTGCCTGAGGTTACAGAACCAACTTATGCCATTGCTAAAAGTGATTCTTAGTTAAAATTCTTTCCCACTAGTGCCATAGTTCTGTTGACCTGAAATACAGAATATATTAGTTCTAGTTCTGTTGACCTGAAATACAGAATATATTAGTTCTGTTGACCTGAAATACAGAATATATTAGTGAAACAGCATATACAAGTCTGGGGAACTAGATTGGGTAGGTGGCTGAGAGCCTCATTTTCTAAGAAATGTGGACCTTGGGCAGGGTATGGTGGTTCATACCTATAATCCCAGCACTTTGGGAGACCAAGTCAGGAAGATCACTTGTGCCCAAGAATTCAAGACTAGCATGGGCAACATAGCAAGACCTCATCTCTACAAAAAATTTAAAAATCAGCTGAGCGTGGTGGCATACACCTGCAGTCCCGCTACCTGGGAGGCTAGGTGGGTGGATCATTTGAGCCCAGGAGTTTGAGGCTGAGGTGAGCCATGATCACACAACTACACTCCAGCTTGAGTGACAAAGGAAGACCCTGTCCCTAAAAAAGAAAGAAATGTGAATTTTATTCCTTGGAGAGTACAGTCATTAGTCATTAAATTTGAGTTGAGAGAAAATGATATGATCAGAAGAAATTCATATCACTGCGGTCTGTAGGATGTATGAAAGGAAAGAAGAGACTAGAGTCAGGGATTCCACTTAAGAATTTTTTGCTTGTTTGTTTTGAGACAGAGTCTCGTTTTGTTACCCAGGCTAGAGTGCAGTGGTGCAGTCATGGCTCACCTCAGCCTCAAACTCCCAGCCTCAAATGATCTTCCCACCTCGGCCTCCCAAAGTGCTGGAATTACAGGTGTGAGCCAAAGAATTTATTGATGTGGCCTGGCCTAATGCTTCTCAAACTTCAGTGAGCAGACAAGTGACCGGAGACCTGACTCAGCAAGTCTGAGGTTAAACCTGAACCTCTGCATTCTAACATGAGCATAGCTGATGCAGATGGTGCTGATCAAGAGCCAAGCACTGAGCAAGGATCTAGTTAGCAATTAGTAATCAAGTACAACATTATGGTAGTGACAATGAGAATGGAGAGGCATATGAAAATCAGTAACAAAGAAGAGTTCACCTCTTGGTAATGTGAGCATGAGGAGGGAAAGGATGGGGCCAAACATAACTGGTTTTGAGTTTGACTGACGAGGAGAATTGTAGCTCTATTAACAGAAATAGGAGAAGAAGTTGGTTTGGAAAGAAAGAGGAGGAGTCCTGTTTCAGACATGTTGAGGTCCCAGGCGAGACAGAATCTCCAAAGGGAAATGAACAGTAGGCAATCTAAAAGGAAATCTGTGCTCAGAAGGGAGCTGTGAGCTGGACATGTAGATCTCAGGGTCTTCAGCACATAGAGTTTAGAAGACAAGGAATAGGCAACCAAAAGAGCAAATACACAAAGAGAGGAGGACTGATGATGAGACTTTTGCCTTTTGGGATGAGAAGAGGAACAGGAAATTAAGGAACGAAGGGAAGCAGCTTATAGGAATGCAGAGCATCTGGAAAAAAATACACACTGTCATGGAAGTTAAGGGAAGAAGCAATTTCAAGAAGGAGGGTATAGTGGACAGTATTGCAAGCATCGGAAATACAGCTAAAAGTCATACTCTTGACTGCATTGACCTTGTGGATTTGTGAGGGACACACTAATAAATAAAGGAATTTATTGTGGGTATATGGAGGCACAAAGGAAGAG